AGGCTTTGAACATGTCTAGAGACTCAGTTTTTTTATAAATGAGATATAGGTACCCATAATGTGAGTAATCGTCTATGAATGATATAAAGTATTATTGACCATTCCAATATGTCGTAGGGAATGACCCACAAATATCTACATGTATCAATTCTAAGACATCTGAAGATCTTTTGGCACATAATCTCTTAACTTTGATCTGTTATCCCTTGATACATTCAACTCATACGCCGAAATCTGAAAAAAAAATAAGGGAATCCAAAATTCCATCAGACATAAGACGCTCAACTCTATCTTTTGAGATATGACCCAAGCGCTTATGTCATAATGTCGCTGAATTTTTTTTATTTAATTTACGCTTAGTACCACATGATTCCACATGTAATGGTTCACTATAAGAAGCAATTATATCAATCAAATATAGGTTGTCATAAGTACTCAAGTAATAAGTTCCCACAACATTTGAATTTAAAGATAGACTGAATTGGTTGTTTTCGAATAAACAATGATAACCTGATTTGTCCAATACAGAAACAGAAACCAAATTCCGTCTAAAAGACGATACTACAAAAGTATCTTTTAAATCCAAATATGAACCATTTCCTAATAGCAAACTAAAATGGCCAATTGCTTCCACATCTACTGATTGTCTGTCACCCACAAAGATGTGTCTTTCAACATCACTTGGCTTTCGGTAGCTCAGACAGTCCTGCATAGAAACACTTATGTGAGTAGTAGCACTAGAGTCTAACCACCAAGTGTTTTTAGGTATTACAGCTAAATTAACCTCAGAACAGACCAAAGTAAGGAACATACCCTTCTTAGCACGTCAGACATGATATTTGGTACAGTCCTTCTTTATGTGTTCAGACTTGTTGCAGAAGAAAAAACATTGATCATCCTTATGTTGTTTCTTCTGAATAGGACCCTTAGCAGCTTCATTATCATTCTTTCTTTTCTTGCCTTTATCCTTAGAGGCATAAGCCAAATGAGCACTTTCTGTCTTATCTTGTTTTAACATGTCTTCTTCTTGCACACAGTATGAAATGAGCTCATTTAGAATCCATTTTTCCTTTTGACGGTTATAACTAACCTTAAACTGATTGAATTGTGCAGGAAGAGACAATAGAACCAGATGCACCAATAACTCATCACAAAGATCGAGTTTAAGTGTCTTAAGTTTTGAAGCAATATGAGGCATTTCCATAATGTACTCCTTGATATTTCTTTTGTCCTTATACTTCATCGAAATCAAGCGAGCTAAAAGTGTGTTTATTTCTACCTTATCGTTTTTCACAAAACGTTTCTTAATTTCGGCAAGGAAATATTTGGTCTTAATAATCCCTTCGGATTCTATGCCCCTGAAGGCTTCCGAAACGCCGCGCTTAATGATCATAAGACTCAGCGATTTGATCTCTCTCATTTCTCATACCCCTTCTTAATATCAGGAGAGATGTCCGCATTGAGAGGTTGGGATTGTTCAATTCTTAATGCAAGGTCTACATCCATGCAGCCAAGAACAATTAAAATGTTCTCTTTCCAAACCTTAAAATTAGTCTCATTGAGCATAAGAATTGAGTTGATGTTAGCAGAAATTATTGCAGTAGATGCATTAGCTGAAATAAACAAAAGATGCTCACTTTATTAACTATAATTAGTAATAAATAAAATTCAAATAATGACAAATCCTATCTCAAGATATCTAGCACAACATTAATATCAAGTCTTTGGACAGTAATATTAATTTGTAAGTGATACATTGTTACAATGATCAAACATTAACAATAACTTATGTCAAATAATGAAACTATCTTTGGATCGATTCATTATTCACATGTAAACCTTATAATTATCACACGTTTTAAGATTTTATTTTTTCATCTAAGTCGCGCGGCCACCGTCCGCGCCGTCGTCGGCCGGCCGCCGCCGCTCCACCCGTTGGCCGGCCGTCACCACCATCGCGCAGCTCCCTGGCCCGCGCGCGGGTCGCCGTCAGCGGCGCCGCCAGCCACCCTCCACCTGCCGCCGCCACCATCGCCACCGACTACCAGTCGGCCCGTCGCCTCCGTCCGTGGGTCACCAGTCGGCCCGTCGCGCCCGCCTGTCGGTCGGCCACCGCCGCCATCGCCCGCCGGCCTGCCGTCGTCGCCCGCCGGCCACTCGCCATCCGTCGGGCCCACCGCCGGCCACCTTCCACCCGTCGCCGCTGCCCGTCGGCTGCCGCCCGCCGGCCACTCGTCGGCTCGTCGCCGTCCTCCCGCTCGGCCGACCTCGCCACCTCCGCCGCCGCCGCCACCCGCCGTCGCCCGCCGGCCACCTGCCGGCACGCCGCGCTCGCGCGGCCGCCCGTCGCTAGCGAAGTCGTCGTTCCACGCCGCTTTTCGGTCGCCACTGGCCACCCGCCACCCGCCCGCCGCCGCCCGCCCACTGTCGCTATATAAATGGTCAAACTAGTTTGATCAAAATGGTGTTTTCAAAACACATTTGAAAAAGAAACACCATGACATGATGTTTTTTACAAAAAAAAAAAAAACACATTGATTACCAAACACACTCTAAGTTAGGTAGACAACAATTAAGATGGAGTTCTACCGAAATCCCAAATATATCCCAATTCCACCCAAGTTTCGGCTAGATAATAGTTGCAATAAAAAAGAGAGTTTCCAATTGGTTTTGATTCGTGCCATTTCTTTATCCAATTCCGACTGTTTAACTAGTATACATACAAAATAACAATCATAAATAATGTATTCACCAGTCAAATATGTTCTCAATGAATCTCAGCTGAAAAAATCACTTAACGACTAAGGCGTCAAATAAAATCCTATGACGCGAGATATTGTGATTTATAAGGAAATTGGATGATTAAGAGAGCTGGAAAGAGAAATTTTAACTATGAAAAACAATTTCATGCAAAAAAAAGATTGAAGAAAGGAAAAATTAATTAAGAGTCTGATGTGTGATTTAAGATGGATATTGAAAAAAAAAATCAGGGTATTCTTCAGGGGAGTGCAGTGTTTAGATAGAAACTGACATTTTAAAATCCTCCAAAATCATGCTATCAAAAATTTTCATTTCTCCATTCAAACCAAATAATCAAATAAATATTTTAATTGAAACATCATGAAGAAGATAGAATGTATTTCATATAAAAAATTATATAACTCTTTACCCTAATTTAAAAAATTAGAATATAATATAATTTCACACTGAATACAGGCCCAAAAAGCAAGATTTCAATTCAGGTTCAGATGTAAAATCTAAAAGAAAGAAAAAAAGGGGAGGATGAATAACCATGTTTCATCCATCTTTTGCAGTAGCTTCAAAAATCACTCTGCGGCTTCATGGATCCGTCTCACTTTGTTTAACAATTGAATCATCAGTGATTAATTTAGCTCGTCAAAGGCTGGCAGATGGAGAGGGAGGGAAAAATCATGGGTTTTTTTGAGATATTGGTCACCCACGTGTTATATCTAATTGGCTACAAATCCCTCAAATCACAATATTTGGTACAAGTCCTCTACATTTCATCCTTTCTGCTACGAGTCCCTCAAGTCATGATACTAAGATATAAGTCCCCAAAAACTATCAATGTCACTTAAGTTGCATTTAAATATCCCTGGCTATAAATGCCTGCAGTTAATACCCCAAAGTATCTTCTGTTAGAATTTCATATGCCGTAATATTTTTCCTAAAGACGAAAATGTGCCCCCTCTATTTAGTAAGATGAAAAGACGTTGTATAGTGAGATGCTTAATTGCAAATTAGATGAGCTTTTAGGACACCAATATGTATCAGAATATTACGTGACAGATCATATTGAAATACTCCACGCATATTCTGATGGTTCACTAACAGAGAGCATCAACGCACAACATTTAGAATTTTTAGAATATTTACATGCAAAATTTAGAAACTTTGAGATATTTAAGTACTGTGATTTACGACTGAGGAGATTTTCCTTAGGTGACACTACGGGTTAGGGGCTGTTTGGTTGTATGTTTTTACCATGTAAAAGGATGGAAAGTGTAAAAAAGTGGGTCCTAATGTTAGTTTTCATCACTTTCAATTGTTTGTTTGTAGTTGTGAAAATAGTGTAAAGTGATTTCATATGCTGATGTGGCTTGTAAAGTGATTTCATAAAAAAAAGACATGATTTTAGGAGAAAGCTGACATTAAAGTCAGGAAAAATAATAAAAAACAATTCCAACTAATATGATCATTTGAGTAGTGACAACTTTTTACACTTTCCAAACAAACAATTAAAAGTTATATTTGCAAACCAAACAAGCAATTTATGATTCCAATGGAATAAAAAACAAACAAAGAAAAGTATAAAAGTAAAATCGATGAGGTAGACAACAACTTTCCAGGTTGTGTCATAAATACACAACTTTACCAACAACAACCAAACAGGCCCTTATTTAAATACAAGTCAGCCATTATTTTAAGAAAAATTCCTCAAGGACCCAAAATATGGGACCAATAGGGGGGACAAGTGAGGTGTCCCCCTCCTATTGGATAATGAGTTGGTCATCATTAATGATGACCAACTCATTATCCAATAGGAGTGGGACACCTCACTTGTCCTCCATATTAATCCCATATTTTGGCTCCATGTAGCAAAACTCTTATTTTAAAAGAAGCATCGAAACTAACATGATGTAATTATGGGTTAAACACCAATAGTCCCTTTTACTGTTGTCCAATTGCAAGTAGCCCCTACAGTCCTATTTGTGTGAATATACTCCCTACTGAACTTTTTCAACTCTTTTTTATAAATAAAAAGCTTAGCAATTTAAAATCTGTTCTTACCTATGGAGCTATAAGGGGCGTACATGCTTCCTCAGAATTTTTTTTTGACGATTTTAAGAGTTAAAATAAAATTCATTGAGGGATCTATTCGTCCAAATATAACTTAAGGAGGTCTAGTCCCAATTGAACTGTACTATACGGGTTCTTGCCGAAGTTAACCCTACACAATTAACGCTATCGAACATTAACTGTTAGTGTTACGCTGTGGGGGCGGAGCTCCCTAGAATCCCCCCGCTTCCATTGACGGAGCCTCCAAAGGCATCCCCCCCTCTCTCTCTCTAACCCCTATAAAATCTCTTTCTCCTCTTGTTTTTGCTCTGGCTAATCTCAGACCCACCCTTAACCTGCTCCACCACCGATCCTCTCTCATGGCCGCCTCGATCTCTTTCGCTTCACCCATCATCTCCAAGCCCTCCGCTGCTCCGCGGAGCACGGTACCGCTCCGCCCTCTTCCTGTCGCTCCCCGGTGCGTTAACCTTCGATCTTCTCTTAGATCCTCTGACGCCTCCGCTGCCTTCTCTGGTAAAAATCAAATCTTGGAAGTCTCGTATTTCCATTTTTTTTGATATTTTTCATTATTGCGAAAATCGGAGGGTTGTATACTCATTATTGTGAATTTTGTTAATGATTGCTTGGAGAGCTATGTAATTTTGGCTAGCAATGCCTCAGATTTGATTGGTATTGTTCTATTTTTTGTTGTGAAAAGCCCAAGTTGACACCTTTGTCTAGATTACACCGTCCTTAATGTGAATTTTCCGGTTGCGGGGTTGTGAAAACTTCCCTTTTTCTTTTGCACGTGCCTTCCAAATACTATGACAATTGGTTGGTGTGTTTCCATCACACTTCAGACAAGTTTTCTGTTAGACTAATGATACTGTAGCATCATATCTGTACCGTCCAAAATAATTACTGAATATGTTCTTAAGAGATGCGCAATTTTCCCCAAACTTTTGTTTTTTAACTGCTATAGCATAATAATTATTTTTGTTATACATTTGTGTATGATATGCAGGTGTCAGAACTCATGTTACGGCTGTCGAGCAAGCAACAGTTGAGGAAACCCCGAAAGTGGAGACGCCTGTTGTCATTGTAACCGGAGCTTCTAGAGGTATTGGAAAGGCTATTGCATTAGCCATGGGTAAAGCTGGTTGCAAGGTCAGTAGGTTCATATCATATTTTTGCTTTTCCTCCTTTTAAATTGGTTTCTTTTTAGAGTTTTTAGACTAAATAATATCTTAATAAATAGATTATATAATTCAATACGGAATTTTGGTGTTAATGGTGTGATTAGCTTTGATGTATTATCTGCTCATTTTGTTTTATGAATATACATACATCCTGTGAAACCTATTTGTTACTTAAGGCAGTTATCATTCGCATTTTCTTTGCATGTAGAGCAGTGTGCTGGGGCGTATGGGGGCCAAGTTTACCTGGGGTATAACTGTTTGTTTGTGAAGCACTATTTGTGTTATGAAACATTTGGTTGCAACAGCAAACAGTTGAAATCTGTCATGAATGCTAGGTAAATTATCTGGGAATTTATACTATCCAATCAAGGGGTGCTTGGTTGTTTTCTGAGGAGAAAATATAAGCGCAAAAGACAAGACGAACTGTCCAACATTCATAGTTTTAGAGAAGTGGCAGCCACTGCAACCTCCTTTCTTGATAAAAGATATTATTGCTCTGCTTCATTTATTATATCTCCAGGGAATCCTTTGAAGTTGATGCTAAGGCTCTACCAAAATGAAATAGAGAGAGGTTTGGGGATGGAGGGACCATGCTTTGTCTCTCCATCTAGCTACTAAATACTATAATCTCTTAAAGATAGCTTACCCATATGATTTAGAGCGTGAGAGTCTCGTCTCACTCTAATTCATCAATATGTATCTGATAAATGGAGATATGTGGAAATATTTAGTTACTTCAAAAAACCTTGTTAAGCTCCTTTTAGATGAGAGAGATCAAGAGATGAGGCACACACAATATTAGGATCCTTTTACTATTATTTTCTCTGCAATTGTTTGCTAGTTTGTTCTGACCATGATTATTAGTTAATCAGACAACTAATATATCGGTATCTATATAGAGATGAGCCACAAATTATATTAGGACCCTTTTACTATTAGTTTCTTTGCAAATATTTGCTATTTTATTCTGACTATGGTTATTACTTATTAGTAAATCAGACTAATATTCCAGTATCATTTCTGTGCCCTGTATTCTTAATGTTACCGTTTGTTATTATCTCCTAAATATCTATCTCCTAGCTACATAACTGTGTAATGTGTATTTATAGGTGGAATTATTTTATTGCTTTTGTGTAACATCGATTGCTGACTACTTCCTAATTCTATCAGGTCCTCGTTAACTATGCAAGGTCATCAAAGGAGGCAGAAGAAGTTTCAAAAGAAGTGAGCATGATACTCCTTATATACATTTTTCTTTAATTTGTTGATTTTTTTTTGAGTAGTCACAGTTGATTAAAGTGATCCTTTGAAATATTTGGAACATACTAGTTTATTCCAACACTGTTTCTTTTGTGAAATTCCTACTCTGTCTTGTTAACACTATGCTCTGACAAAGAACATTATTTAGATGCGTCGCCCGCATCTGGTGAACTCATTGTAGTGTCGGTTTGTAATTACTTTAGTGTCATCCATCAATACTTAATATGTTTAGTGACCTCTGTCATTGCGACTTCTGCTGTCTCTATTCTTCCTGCATAAGTTAGGGAACTCTGCATGGATTCTTTAAGAGTTAACATTTGATGACTACACTCTTGCATGAGGGTTACTCTTGCAACCCATGTTTGCAGTTATATGTGGATGTTTCTTTTTAAGAGTAACACTATTATCAAATAATTATTAGCCTCGGATAATGAAGTGAGTTTGTCAGCTATAAAAATTTTCAGACTTGGTAATATCTTGTCAAGTGGTAATATACTGTTCTTTATGTGGTGCATTTATTTGGTTGCATGACCTTATACAACATGATTTGAAAAGGTATGTGAAAAGACTCTGACCACCCACCAGGACCACAGGGTTTTTACAACCATGAAATTTAAACTAACTCGAGAGGGTTAAGATCAGGCAGATAATGGCCATGTAATATCAGTTATCCTGTCTTGGTGCTTTTCTCAACTTCCACTGGTGCTCCATCAAGGATCTCACTATAATGAGCTGGTACTCCATCAAGGATCTCACTATAATGAGAAAGGCTGAGACGTTGACGGTTTTCAAATCCCTGCAGGGCCTGAACACATAACACAGTGAAACTAACATTTAACCTTTAGATTTGGTATTTCATGAAAATTAAATATACTCCATCATGCATACTAGTTAAAGGGCTTGTTTTTTGACATGTAGTGTCCACATCATCATTATTTGACATGGGTTTAAAAAGGAATTATATTAGTCAAAGCGGACACCATTTTTTTAACAAGCAGGTTTCATGGTGCAGCTAGAGAAGCTTTGGTTTTTATGAACTTCCAGTTAAGGTCTTGATCACAGTGAAATAGAATTGGAGATAGACTAATAGAATGGAAAATAACTGAAAGGTCTGTATGTTCTAACCTTATGATGATATCAGCAACCATTATGCAAAACTTGAAACCTTCAATTGCTATTTTAAGGACTTTTTAGAATTATCATCTTGATTGAAACAGTGGGTTTATGTTTATTCAAGTAATATAATGTGCAAGTTATCAAGCAAAAGTGATTGGCCCTATGGATCTATTAAGTACTCTAGCATATTGGATTTTACGATTCTTTTGAGGTCGTAGAGAATAATTGTTTCAAATATTAGCATTTAATTCATCATGTTTTCTGGTTGTAGATTGAGGCCTCTGGTGGTCAAGCCCTCACCTTCGGTGGAGATGTTTCAAAAGAAGCCGATGTGGAATCTATGATCAAAACTGTGAGTTTATAGCACTACAGCACAGTTTCTATCATAATCCTTGCATTTTGTTTACATCTTTTGAAACTTATATCACTGAGTTGTTACACTTGCAGGCAGTTGATGCTTGGGGAACGGTTGATATTTTGATAAACAATGCAGGTTATTGAAGATTTGAGTACCTCTACCTAACACATGTAGTTCGTTTTCTTTCTATAATAAATCTTCATGATTCCAGGCATTACTCGAGATACTTTACTGATGAGAATGAAGAAATCTCAATGGCAGGATGTAATTGACCTGAACCTTACGGGTGTCTTTCTTTGCACGCAGGTGAATATTTATCTTTATCTGAGATCATAGATTCAAATTTTCAATATGTTATTCAGCTGTGTACTCCTGTTTTTACTGATAGCCCTGTCCCTTTGCAGGCTGCAGCCAAAATAATGATGAAAAAGAGAAAGGTAGATCAAGTTCTACAGTACTGATTTATTTTAGGATTTTCCTTTTCCATATTCTTTTCTTATGTTTAAGAGACTTGTCATTTGGCCGATAGCCAATCACATCATATTTTATCCTTTCTTGTTTGGAAATTATGTATCTAGTATTATCATGACTTTAGTTACTGTTTATTGCAGGGAAGAATTGTCAATATAGCATCTGTTGTTGGTCTTGTTGGAAATGTTGGTCAAGCCAACTATAGTGCTGCGAAGGCAGGAGTGATTGGTTTGACCAAAAGTGTAGCAAGGGAATATGCAAGCAGAAACATCACGGTGGTTCTCTTTAGTATATTGTCTAAAGTAAATCTTGATTAGTCTCTGAAATATAATCTAATTATTAAATGGCTACTCAGGTGAATGCAGTTGCCCCTGGATTTATTGCATCTGATATGACTTCCACACTTGGGGAAGACATTGAGAAGAAAATCTTACAGGGTATCCCTCTAGGTAAGGATGATTCGTTTACTGACAAAGTTTTGTAAGCATCATGTGCTGAAATAATTCTCCAATATAAAGTGTGACTCAAATTGTCAAAATGTTAAAATAGTTTAATACACACGGTGCACTTAGTTTTGACCGAAAATGACTTATGAAGTGGACATCTTCAACCAATAATTTTTGGCATGGATTTTTTTTTATTGTCATGCCAAAGTTCAAACTTTACGTTAAGTGTCTATTTTGCAGGGCGATACGGAAAACCAGAAGAAGTTGCTGGATTGGTGGAGTTTTTATCCCTTAATCCTGCTGCAAGTTACATCACTGGCCAGGTAATATTGACTTACTTGATCAAGCATTCTTGATAATTGTGAATTTTTCTTAATGTGACCTAATATTTAATTCACTTTGGCTTTTGATTTTAATGATGACATGTTCGTGATAATCTGCAGGTATTCACCATTGATGGTGGGATGGTGATGTAGAACTTGTTGTCGATGTTCTTGTATCAGATATGTACATTGGAGGTGAGTCTGGATATGATTATCTGGCTGCAAATTTGAGAAATAAGGGCACATAGAAGGTGTTCTCATGTTTTCTACGGCTTCTTCAAAAGTCTGTTTAGATTCTGCGAGTAACTTGAATTAACTTGTGAGTTGCTTGAATCAACTTGCGTTCTTGTTTTGCGAGGGGTTCAGGCCTGGAACTTCTTTGGATGTGTGGATTTCGGCCATTAGTTTTTGTAGTTGGAACTTTTGGAAGTGCTATTATGAGAATATATATTTTAGTTTTTGGCATTTTCTTCAATATTAGTCTCTTACATGTTTCATATTCTGAAATTAGTCACTCTATTAGGTCCCCAAGTTCTTGAGATATTCTGAATTAGCCCCTGAAATCTTTGAAACTGCTATAAGTGCCCAATTTCGTATCAGTTGATTCAAATTAATCCCTCTAATTACTACTTCTACTCTTGATTAAAAACTAGTTTTAAACAATTTAAGAATTAGGGGACGTAACAGCAATTCTGAGGATTTAATTTCAAAATAACTTAATAATGGCGGACTTAGTAGCAATTTCAATTATTTGAGTGGCTCGATCAAAATATGAAAGATGAAAGGGACTAATATGGAAAAAGACTGTATTAAGTTTTTTGTGAGGCTTAAAACCTTTTCATGGTAAGGGTTCATATTCCCAATCGTTACTTCACCTAACCGAACCATAATGGGATTCATTCGAGACTTCACGATGCTCGGAAAGCCAAACGTGTCTTATGAAAAGGGGTAAAGTTAGGGGTGTCCATACCAGGCAAAATCGGAGCCGAACCAGAGCCCGATTGGGCCGGGCCGGTTTTTTATTTTTTTTCTTTTCATTTTTTTGGTTAAAAATTTGCTGAAAATTGTTAAAAATTAGTTTAATCTTATTATATTTATATAATTATGCATTAGTATATATTACAAATTATTATATAACTATGTATTATATATACATATATTACATGTAAATATATTATATGTATTTATAAGTTAAGAGAATCACATAAATGTATATTATATATTTATAAATACGTATTATGTAGTTATGTATGTATTTGTTACATACTTTATGCTTAGTTAAGTACAATTATACAATTTACTTATATGATATATTTTTATATATACTAGATGCTTATATATTATTATACTTATGCAGTTATACAATATACTTATATAACTGTAATTCTATAATATACACATATGACATATAAGTATACTTATAACTACATTATATATATATTTATATTCTTATATCTTAGTATCTATATCATGCTAAGT